TTATATATATATATATATATATATATATATATATATATATATAAAATTATAAAATCATAAAATCATAAAATTTTGTGATTCTGATGAGGCCAATATTGCGCGTCGGTTCAAGGAAGTATGCCGAGTCATTTTTTTGCGTCTTCGACCGTGTGCGGCGTATGTTTTTTTGATCTCACGTTCGAGTACAACGATCGTAGAACAAAGAAGCAGGAAGGCGCGAGGAAAGTATGTCCTTTTGTGTATAGCCGAGTGACCGACAGAGCTGCGGCATAATGCCGCCGTACGCGTTACGTAAAGCCACGTTTGTTGCACAATAATCGGTTTCTATAAATAACTCCAAGCATGCCGCGCTCCGGCTCGACTTCTTGTTTACATACGCTCATCACCGTTGTATTGCGCTCACTCGCTCACTTGTGTCTCACGATTGCTGTGTCCTCGAGTCGCTCGTATCCTAGAGATTACATCTCATTCATACTTTGTAGAAGTTTGGTTATTTACATATATCGAATTTATACCGAATTTTCATAAACTTTGGAGTTTACAAACTCGTTCTGAATTAATAATATTTATTATTGTTTATTATAAATGATATCTCTATGCCAAGTTTGAAGCGTTTTAGGTTTCCTTTTACTTCAAATTTGTATAAAAATATTTTTATTTCTATAATACATGAATAACATAGCATTGTTTTATATTCAGCGAAGCATGTTGAAAATATTTGTTAAATTATATTATGTATTTCATGTCACTCGTTTCTCAGTATATCGTAATTTCATTAAAAGATGTGGTGTATGGTATTACGTATGGCGTAAGAAAATGTAAAACATTGTACGCCATAGTAACAGAGTTAAATGTCGTCGATGTCATCATCAAACGGATTATTACGATTGGTACGAAGTGTAAATAAATGATCAATGTACGCGACGTACCTAACGAAGTAATATCGTTTCATCGTTATCATGTATCATCGCTTCACGTTGCATTATTTATACGTTTCTAATAGCTATGAGAACGACGTGGTTCAGACACTTTCATATATCTGAATTATATAATTCATCACTCGTCGAATAGTTTTGCTTATGCTATGTTATATCTGATGGTATTATTACGTGAGCCTTGTGCGACGATAAATCTATTCTCCGTAGTTATGGCGAACGTTGAGAAGGAAACTATTTCCCCAAACTTCCTTCGTATATTGGAATGTATAACTTTGACACCGAAGTTTGTACGTAACGCACGAAATCACATCAGATATGTGCTTATCCGTTTAATCGCGACACGACAAATACGATATCAACCCATTAAAACAGACTGTCGTTACGTAATCTCGGTAATTCTTGCATTCCTGATCGCGATAATTTCGTCTTCGCCTTCGATAAAGTAATTCCAACTCGCGCACACTGTCTGTGTGTGTGTGTGTATATATATATATATATATATATATTTCATTTATCAGCTGAAAATAGCTTAGACATGCAAATTACATTTCACATGTCAAATGCATTCGTTGATTTTTGTTCGTAATGAACGAGTGCAGTTAATTGGATATTAAACATAACTTTTCACATTCTATCTTTAACAACGTATAATCTCTCTGTTTTATATTTTAAATAGATATTATCCAGATATAATTTTACATTTTTTTTTTATATTATCTTTTGATCCGTTTCGAGTAATACACGTTGTCGTTATAATTTATAATTTTTTTGTTCTTTTTCCGTGGCAGCGCACAGTCAATTCGATATTGTTGCACAATACAAATCCCTAATTAATATGCATGCTTTATAGCACGTAAGCACATACAGATGCTAGATCAGATAAAGATCATTGATATAACAACATCTGGATAACATTTATCAGCGCGCGACAGCTATCCCGAGATAACACGTTAAAACGGTGATCGTTTTGATCAGATACCGCAAAACGCACGTTGTATACGACTCTTTTACACGCAGTTTGTTTTCCGGTGTTCAAAGACGCGAGGTGAAGCTCGGATCTCACCTCGATGCGCTTTTCGCAAGCTCGCAGCTTGACAAACGGGTCGAGCCAATCCTGACCATGGTCAACGTAGTAGCACTATAGCATATCGCGCGCGTACATTGCTTTTTAACTATATACACATACACGCGGACGTGTAGATATGTATAAGTCGCGAGCGCATGCACTCGAGAGGAGACGGCCGAGAGAGAGAGAGAGAGAGAGAGAGCGAGATGAGCAGAGAGTGAGTTATATCTTGCACGGTGCACCCACTCGCGCGCCGGGTTAACTTGTGCATTCGGGTGCGCGTGCACCCGATGGAAGTGCATGTCATATAACGTTCGTCCCGCGGTATGGCGCAGTTCGCGTGAAACGCGCGTCCCTGAGAAAATATCGTCGAGCAAATTAACATTGCTCTCCGAACTCCGAACTCGTCTCTCTCGCGGAGAGGAGATAAATCCGTTACGAGAAAATTGTAATCGCGGAGAGGAGCACGGTGCTCGCGAGATATGGAAATCCGGGGCTACCAAGCTGTAACGTAAATTTTGTATCACGTCTACTCTCGCCGAAAGGACGAATCTCCGTGCGTTGCGATTTAATTAATTCTTGCAACTTTAACGCTAGGACGACAGCCAAGTTTCGGTGGAGGTGTGGAGGAAACGTCGCGACGTCACGTCACACGTCGTTCCACTGTAAAATCTAGACGTTTGAACGGCTTCGTCTAGGAATGGGCTTAACACCTGCCGCAACTGCATAATTTTTTTTCCAATCTCGTTATCCGCCGTGACTTCCTGCCAGCCGTTTCAACTAGGTTGAACATTCGCGATCCGTTCGTTCCGTCCGTTCGCCGCGATAAGCGCGAGATCCGTAGCTCCCGGATCATGTTTTTATCACTCATGCAAATACAATGCGAACGACTGATAGGTCGGCTGCTTGCGGTATAACGTCCGTGATAGATAGGAGAATCCCGCCGTGATAGACATAAGTAGACAAAACGGGTCTTTGTATATTTGCCTATATCTACGTGGAACGTGACTTTGCAATAAGACTCATGTACACGTGTCGAGAACGCTTTACCGACGTTGCACGCTATAATCTGCAATATCACTATTAATTAAGAGAAGACGCGCCCGCTTTTATG